GAAAACATTAACTTAGCTGATGAGTATTTTCACATTCCGCAGAGAGTTGATTTATTAATTGGTGCGGAATCCTTTTTCGAGCTAATAAAACCTGGGCAAATTTACTCTCCTAACTCGAATTTAATCTTACAAAATTCTGAGTTTGGTTATTTAGTTAGTGGAAGCATATCAAATATGGAGGATAATAAAATCCAGTGTGGGTGAGTTAAAGAAACTCTTGATTTAGAACAAACTGTTAGAAGTTTTTGGGAGATAGAAAATATCGAAACTGAAATAATTTAGAGTAAAGAAAAAATTATTTGTGAAGAACATTTTAAAAACTGTGCTAGAAATTCTGAGGGACAGTACATAGTAAAGATGCCTTTAAAAGAGGATCCTAAGCATTTGGGAAAATCTAAAGAGTTTGCGTTGAAAAAATTAAATCTGATATGGAGACGTTTAGTTAAGGAGCCAAATTATTTATCTTTATATAAAGATTTCCTTCATGAATATTTAGAGATGGGACACATGTCAGAAATTTCGGATGATGAGGAGGAAGAAGCCACTTACTACATTCCCCATTTAGGAGTTTACCGTCCCGATAGGCAATCAACTGTCTTAAGAGTTGTTTTTAATGCGGGTTATCCTACCTCAGCTGGTAATTCCTTAAATTCTTTGCAATTAAATGGAGGCATGGTTCAGAGTGATTTATTTTCCATCATGACAAGGTTCTGTAAATATGTCTATGCCTTCACAGCAGACATAAAGAAAATGTACAGAATGATCTTAATTCACTAAAGGCAAAGAAAATTGCAGTGTATTCTTTGGAAAGAAAAAGAGAAAGGACCTGTCAAAACCTACGAGTTGAATACCGTCACTTACGGTACGGTGTGTGCACCATTTCTAGCAACTCGTACATTAAAGCAAATAGCTATTGATGAAGGAGAAAATTATCCTCTTGCTGCTCCAGTCATTGAAAATGATGTTTATATCGATGATGTGTTGACCGGCTCTGATAATTTAGCAACTGCAAAGGAACTTAAAAATCAGTTAATTGGTATTTTTGGAAATGCAGGCATGCAACTCCACAAATGGCATAGCAACTGCGCAGCGTTAGTTTCTGATGGTGAAGAAATATATAATTTTATTAACTGTGCTTTTACTCAAGTGCTAGGAGTTTCCTGGAGTCCGAAGAAAGATAGTCTTTATTTTAAAGTTACCTGTAGTGCATCACATAGAAAAGACTCGAGAGTTACGAAGCGCTGTGTCTTATCCACAATTGCACGCCTTTTCGACCCCCTTGGACCAGTAGTGTCAAAAGCAAAGATATTTCTGCAACAGCTATGGTTTTTAAAACTGGACTGGCATGAAGAACTACCTGAGAAACAAATCCAAGAGTGGAAGAAGTTTGTCGAAGCTTTAGAGAGTTTTAACAACATGGAATTTGATACCTGTATACTTACAGAGGGAGCTGACATGATTGAAATTCATGGATTCGCCGACGCGTCAGAGGTTGCTTACGGTGCTGTTGTTTACTGTGTGTTAAAAATGGTCAAGCAGTGACTATCAAATTGATTGCTAGCAAAAGTCATGTATCACCTTTGAAAAGAGTAACAATCCCAAGACTACAACTTTGTGCCTCACTGCTTCTAGCCAAATTAGTGAAAAAAGTGATAATAGCTCTCGATTTGCCTATATCCATCATCTACTTATGGAGTGATAGCATGATTGTGCTTGCTTGGATACGTAAGGAGTCATTTCTACTTAAGACTCTCGTTGCCTATCGTGTATCCCAGGTTCAAGACTTAACTAACATTGACAATTGGAGATATGTACCATCAACTGAGAACCCTGCAGACATTATCTCCAGAGGTCTCGATCTTGATAAACTTTCACAATGTAGATTGTGGTTTGAAGGACCAAATTTCTTGCGTAATAGTGAATATCCAAATAGAGACATTCCATCCAGAGTAATTGAAGATGAATTTTCTAATGAATTTAAACCATCTAGTGACTTCAGTTGTTTTATTAGTAATAATAGTAATTTTCTTGATAATTTTCTGGAAGTTAGTAATAATTATAGTAAACTCATTCGTGCATTAAGTTTTGTATATAGGTTCATCGATAATTGTCGGAGCACTTATGACACATCAATTGGGTCTTTGTCTCCAGATGAACTCAAAAGAGCTGAACTGAAATTGGTAAGTTTAGCACAGAAATGGGAGTTCAGCAAGGAAATTAAAGATTTAGAAATTACAGGTGAAGTTTAAAAGCAGAGTAAGGTAAGAAGTTTATGTCCTTTCATTGATGAAGAAGGTCTCTTAAGAGTAGGTGGACGTTTGGCCAATAGTAATTTGTGCTTTGACAAAAAATTCCTATTATTGTTACCAGAAAAACATAAATTAACAAAGTTGATAATTATTAGTAATCATATTAAGAATTTACATGTTGGACCTCAAACATTATTCTTTATTATAAGGCAAAGATTTTGGCCAATCAATGGCAGATCTATTTGTAGAAAAGTAGTTCGTGAGTGTTTGTCGTGCTTTAAATCTAAAACAATAACTAGTGATCAACTTATGGGTGATCTACCCAAAAGTCGTGTGAGTCAAAACTTTCCATTTGCCATTTCAGGTGTGGACTTTTGCGGTCCATTTGCAACTAAATACAAGAACCAACGGAAAGGTTCTATAAAATTAGCATTTTTCAAAAAATTTATGTCGCGATTTTTGTATGTTTTGTCACAAAAGTGATTCATTTGGAGCTTGTGACAGAGTTGAGCTCTCAAGCTTTCATAGCAACATTAAAGAGATTTTTTTCTTGAGAGGAAAATGCAGTATTCTGTACTCAGATAATGCGACTAATTTTGTTGGGAGTAATAATGAGTTACAACGATTATTTAGTTAATTAAAAATCCTGATAAGAGTTTATGTTATTATATGAGTCATGAAAATATCAAATGGAAATTTTTGCCACCAAGGAGTCCGAATTTTGGAGGGCTCTGGGAAGCTGGAGTGACATCCTTCAAATATCATCTGAAAAGAGTAGTGGGTGATAAAAAATTAACTTATGAAGAATTTTTGAGTGTGACTACTCAAATTGAGTCCGTTTTAAACTCAAGACCGCTTACCCCGTTATCTTCAGATGCCAATGATTTGAGAGTTCTCACTCCAGGCCATTTCCTGATTGGAAGACTGTTCACATCAATTGTTGAACCAGATGTAACCAATGTATCTGATAATAGGTAGAGTTTATGGCACAAAACCACTAAATTCGCGCAATTAATATGGAAAAAGTGGCACAAAGATTATTTGTCAACTTTGCAACAAAGGTCGAAATGGTACATCGATAAACAAAACATTAAAACTGTATATATGGTTTTGATGAAGGAAGATAATTTGGCTATATGTAATTTTCCAATTGGTAGAATTGTGGAGGTCTTTCCAGGAAAGGATGGCAGAGTTCGTGTTTGTAGTATTAAAACAAACAAAGGAATCTTTAAAAGGCCCATTTCCAAGATTTACTTATTGCCAATTGAATGAATACTTTTTTTAAAACTTTATATTACTTTTCATAATCATGTAAAATTTATTGTGTAATAGTAATTGTTAGTATAGTAATAGTTGTGTAATTGTTGATTGTTAAAACAATGCAACGTCCGGCGGTATGTATCCGCACAGTTTTGTAGCGCCATCTAGAAAAACTTGTAAAAAAGAGAGAATGTGTGTGTGGAAGGAGAGCCGTAAAGAGCAACAAAAAAAGCTCTCTTCCAAATATTAATAAATGAATATATTGTGCAAAATTACAGTCCGCTTATTTCTGTTTATTGAGCGAGTACATATTTACCTGAGCGTCGACAGGTGTGTTTTCTTCCACTTGCTTGTAATCCCTACCCTCACATTTAAAATGTTCTACCCTCGATCCAGGGTCTCATTCTAGGTGAAAGACGTACTTTTTAATTGTGGATGTTTTCCTAAGATAAAAAAATTGTTCCAACCAACTAGTGATACTAGAAATTAAGGACTTTTAAGGGCCCTTAATTTTCAAAATAAAAACTAAGCAGTTTTTAAGGACCGTGGGAACCCTGTTACTCAATCCACTCGATTAGCGACGATCCCACAGTGAATCCGCGCTGTCCTGACAATTGTTTTTTCATTAGTTATTAGAACGGATTTTCACTTGGTTTTTAAAATCTCAATGTTTTAATATGATATTATTTCCCTCTTCAAATTTTGAATCGCGCACTCAATTATTGACAATTTACCGACAAACCCACGTGGATTTACGATCGTCTTTTCGTCAGCTACTGCAGCCAATTTTCATAGTTTTTTAATGCTACATCATCACACACAGGAAATTTTGAATCTTGCATTTGTAAAATCAGTTTTTGATGCATTCGATTTGTGATGAATTATTTTACTTTCTATGTGGTTTTGTCGATTGCATCTAAACACTCTGGGATTTCCACATAGTTTTTTAAAATTTTGAATTTGTTTTTGTGTCCAATTCGCAGATTCCAAATCACACTTTTGAATAATCAGTTAATCTCTCCCTTTAGTCCTGACAATTTCCTCTCAAATTTGCATTTTTTCAAAAATGTGAAATTTTTCGACACTCTGAAGCTGAGTGTGTGATTCTTGGTGAATGTCTTTTTATGAAAGAGGCGAGAAAAAAATATGTGATTTTTTTTTCTTGATGTAGAGAAATGATGAATTTTATTTCTGTGATATTCAATTTTTTCCCATTACAGCAGAAATCGGATTAAAATCGTACAAAGGAAGGTTGAGTAAAAATTATTAAGAAGTGCAAACTAGAGGAGGTTTCTCAAATTTTTTGTGACATTCAACATAATAGTACATAAATATTCCCTTTTATTTTTTAAAGAAGGTTTGATATAATATTTTAATTAAAAGACTTCAAATATGTGAACATTAAATATATGAAACATTGGACAATAATCACAAATTTTCTAATAAACAAACTCAAAACATTTTATAATAAACTAACAAAAAGCAGCTTACAAGTGACTGGACCAGAAAATTTCGCTGATGTCTTAAAGTACTAACATGAGCAAATACATCTATACGCCCTTCTTCTTCTAACTGTTGTAATAAGCTATCAATAGCTACAAAAGTACCAGTGCGACCTACGCCAGCACTAAAATAAATAATGATCAAAAGATAATTATAAAAATAATTTAAATGACAATATTCCAGAAGAAAAATTATGCTTTTTAAAATTTTTAATAACAAATATAAAAAAATAACACTATTAGTTTCACAAAATCTTAACTACACACATGGGTAAAGCATACCCAAGTGAATTTTAGGATCATAAAAAACTTATGTACAGTATTTATCCGAACTTTCTATTTGTAATGGTAAAATAACTTTGAAAGATCTCTAACAATATTATAAAATTTGCCTGTTTGCTTGTCTGATGCAGTGACATCAGCTAAATTTGTAATAGTAAGAAAAACAGGATGGTTGGAAAAAATAAATAGGAATGACAGAAGAAATCATTCACTTTAGCCTAATGACATTACCCATTTTATGATTTTTAGGTTAAAATATACAAAATAACTACTCAAAAATAACTAATTCATTAATAAGATTAGAACAAGATATAACCAAAGAAATATCGGTTTTATTATTAGCAGTTTATGAATGCATTTTCTTATTACATTGTTCTGTTAAAAATTAATCTAGAGTTCTAGCCACTAGCATCAGAATGAAGAGCAGTGATAAGTTTTTATGGAAGTTTAGTGATAAGTTTTTTGCGGCGCTTTCTTTAATTCTCATTGAAGCAATTCTCAAATTACGGAATCTCTATCCATATTCCATGACTCTGAAATCATCCATTTCCTTCCAATACCCATTTATTTAAAGAATAAATTTTTGTAAATATTTAAAAACATATTTTCTCAAAAAAATTGTTAAAGGCTTTCCTTTTATATCAGATTCAGCACAAGACAACACATGTGTGAAGATTGATTACTCGTTAATGGATGCTACAACAGTGTTTTTTTTTTTTGTTGTTCATAGTTGGCTCATTAGCGAGCAGTCAAATTCAATAGATAACTCTCTTAAGGTTTCTGATTTGGTAATTCTTTAGATTTGAGCCCCTCAATACAGTCAAGATGTCTTATAACAAGAATGAAGAGATCACAATAGTTACTCAATATAACTAAAGCCTTGTAAAAAACGAGTTGGTAAGAAATCATATAAATTCATACATACCTACTAAATTATGAATATAGTACTTAACTTTATTTTTAATTTCCATACAGTAAAAAAAAAGTTAAAGTTAATTTGCTTTGAACTGTCTTATTTTTCACCAGATAAGACTCATGGCCCGAAAAACATTATCATCTGCACATCTAGTTTTAAAAAAGTGAGTATTCAAAAACCTTTACATACATTGACAGTGGTTCTGCTTAAAATTCTTCACATTCGTTAATATCATCATCGCTTTCATTATTTATTTAATCTCATTTTTGCTGCATTTTTTGCAACTACCTAACCAATTCTATTAATTTAACTTCAACAAAGATGAGTAACTACCAATGCTTAGATTATCGAATGATAATCTGGATTGTGGGGGGAATTAAAGCAGGCCAGTCTCAAATCCAGATTTGTAGAGAATTAAATTTAATGCCTACTGTAGAGAGCAATTTATGGAAACAATATCAGGATTCCGGATTTGTCAAAAAGAACATAGAGAAAAGATTTCCTATGTTCTTTTCGACATAGATTTGGGAAAGAAGAGAAAGCTAAGCCAAGAGCCACAACAGCCAACAAAAATCGGTATTTGTTGATTATAGGAAGCACAAAAAAAATAATAAAATGCTGCAGCTTCACAGCCCTCTTGTGACCTCAATGCGGCCGCAGGAAGACAAGTTTAAATGGTTACTGTTTCCAGATGGCTTCATGAGAAAGAGCTGTTTGCAAAAAGACCTACTGTTTGCATCTCGCTGAGTTCTGCCAACAGAACAGTCAGTTTAGGGATCAGTGCAGAAATCATAGAGATTGGAGCATGGATTAATGGGCCAATGTCTTATTCACTGATGAATTTCGTTTTAGCCTGACCACTGACTCTCGAGGTATTTCCCTATGAGGAGAATCAGTGACTGACTACCTGCCCTCTAATGTCCGAGAAATCTATCATTATCGGGGCCGAGGTTTGCAGGTCTAGGCGGCCATAATGCTGGACTCCCGCACACCCCTCTATGACTCTGAAAGATATACTGCAATTGGATATAGGTGTGCTTGGTATCTTGGAGTCCTAGGTTTATCTTTTCAGAGGTGCAGTGGGTCCTGTTTTTTCTTTTTAATGGATGACAATGCGACACCACAAGGAGCACTTCCGGTTAACCATTTTCTGGAAAACGAAGATATTTGCTGGATGGATTGGTCAGCCAGATCTCCAGACATCAGTACTATGTACATACCTGGGATGCTTTGGGGAGGGCAATTGCAACATGTAACACTCCTTCAAGGACTATCAAGTGTCGGAAAACAGCATTACTGAATGAGTGGGAAAAACTGCCAAGGGAACTCCTAAACTGCCTTATTTTCAGTATGAAATCATCGTGTGAAACCTGCATATCTGTACAAGGGGGCCATACCTCTATTAAACCAATTTTTAACCAAATTCTGTAACCACTTTTTGATACTATCCGATTCTGAGGAATGCTACACATGACCATGCATGTGTATTATAACTGTTGAATGGTTATTATTTGTGTATTATACCAATTCTCTTAATTTTGGACACTAGTGTAAATATAGGTGTGCCTTTTTATTTAGGAAAATAAGGACAATTAAATCAAAATACAACATTATTAATAGTTAGATTGATTCTAAAATTAGTATAAAATTAAAATAAATAATATGACAACAATTATTTTTAAGAAAAATTAATGCAAAATTTCTTACTTATTTATTTTATTAAATTTTATATGACTTAAATTCATTTTATTATTTATTGTTAAACCATTCTAATGGCCAATTTCAGTTCCTTCGAGTTTCTTGGAAGAAATATGTTTCTTCCAGATGAAAGGTTAACCTTGATTTAAATGCAACTTTACAAAAAAGTTACTGAAAAATGCGATTTATTTAATATTTAAGACTTGTGTTCTTAGAAAAAAAATAAAGTATCAAATTGTATGAGCATAAAAAATGAAGTTTTAATTGAAAGTTGAAAAAAAATTGCTTGAAGTTTGAAAAAATTAAAGGAAACATTTTTTTTTAAAAAGAAAAAATACGAACCTACAATGAACAAGAAGTGGTCCCCGATCTGAACAGTAGTGTTCATTTACACGTTTAATAAAACGCAAAAGCCAAGATGGTTGTTCAGGAGCCAGAAAATCTTTCCAAAGAACAAAATGAAAGTGTAAAATTTCCCTCTCTTCGGTCAGGCCATCCTATAAAATGTTTGTTGAAAGAATTAAAATAACTGGATCATTACCGACAACAAAAAGAAAAACAAATTGAGTAATTACCTTAAATAAAAGGTTGAGGTGTAAGAAACAGTCACTGACTCACATTCAGTTATAAACAAGGTCATTTTTGTAGAAATCAGGAGAAGTTTTTCATAAAATATCACTTCATATAATTCAGTTCTAATTTATGCACATTGGGGAATCCTTCCAACAATATGGCAATTTCAAATTAATAAAAAACTGCTTATTATTGAGTAAACACCTATAAATATTTTAATTTTACATTGCAGAAAAACCAACTTGACTTATGGTTCTTTCTCATTATATAGAAAGTTTACATGTAAACAGATCCGAATCTTATTTGTGACATTACAAGTTAAGTCAAACCAAAGCAATGAAAAAAGTATAATGCTTTGAGTTAACAAAATATCAGAAACAAAAATCGTTCTTACTTTTAAAACGAAAAATTTGATGCTAAAAATCGCAATTAAATTGTTTAAAAATGCCACAGTTTTAGAACAAAAATGTAGGAATAACGATCGTTAAAAAAATACTTAGTCATAATACAAATGCTGATAAGAAGAATACTCGGGTGGTGACCGGATGAGAAAGAATAGTCCGAATAAAGCTCATGCATATCGTAAAAGGCGACTAAAATTGACACCCAGCATCCAGGGGTATAACCGGGCACCCTGCCCCTGGGGATTATATCAGGGGACTGGTCCTCCAGGTTGGGGGTTGGGCATGGGGCCAACTACCCCACCCTGTAAAAGACCCCAGTTCAGAAACCTCAACAATGTGCATATACCGGCTCTGTTCTACCCAGATGACTCAGCATGGAAAAGGACTCGAGATTTAGTACATGGAACGACTATAAGCTAGACGTCCTTGCAATTCAGTAAATCAGATGGTTGGGGAAATGAATTTTGGAAAAAAAGGAAAGCAGAGTATATTACAGCTGCCATGACAAATCACACCATTTTGGTGTCGGTTTCATTGTGAACAAAAGACTCAGTAGGGCGTCATTGACTTTCAGGCTATAAGTATGAGACTCTGTAAAATAAGACTGAAAGGAAGGCATTACAACATAACCCCGATTTGTGCTCATGCACCGACTGAAGAGAAAGATGATGTGGAAAAGGATGTATTTTACGACCTGTTGATGAAGAGCTATAATTCCTGCCCTCCACAGGACATGAAGATGGTAATTGGGGACTTCAATGCTAAGATCGGCAGGGAAGGATTTATTAGAACCTACGCTGGTGGTGAAAGCCTTCACTTCGATACTAACGGAAACGGCCAGAGACTTTTTAACTTTGCTGTCTGAGAAAATCTGTTCGTCACAAGCACGGGGTTCCCACATAGAGATATACACAAGTATACTTGGCGGTCCCCTGATGGGTTAACTCTTAACCAAATAGATCATATACTTGTGGACATGAGACACCGCAGCAATGTGATGGACGTGAGAAGTTTTAGAGGAGAGAATGTCGACACAGACCATGTCCTTGTGATTTACAAAGTCAGACTCCAATTATGTAAGAATTTCTATCACAGGAGAGAAATCAGAGATTTTAAACCTGACATTTCTAAATTAAATGATCAAAACGTTCTTAAAGAATATGAAATTAAATTATCTATCTGCCCCATCTTTAAAAAAGGAGACCAACTTGAATGTTGTAACTACAGAGGCATTACCCTACTCAATATGGCATATAAAATCTTCTCCAATATTCTTTTTGCTAGACTCCAGCCTTTTGCCGATTAAGTGGTTTGAAACTACCAATGTGGATTTAGAGCTCAAATGTCCACCATTCACCAAATCCACACTCTAAGACAAATCCTGGAAAAAACTAAAGAATATAACATCAAGACTTTTTACTTATTTATAGACTTCAAGGCTGCCTATGATAGCATCAAGAGGGATAATCTGCTTGAGGCAATGAATGAGTTCGGTATACCTGCAAAGCTTGTTAACCTCACCGGCACTACACTCAATAATGTGAGATGCAGGTTTAAATTTAAAAACCATCTTTCTGAACCCTTTGTAACTGAAAGAGGCTTGCGTCAGGGTCATTCCCTTGCTTGCCTACCTTTTAACATTGCTTTGGAGAAATGTATCCGAGATAGTGGATCAGACCGAAAAGGCACTCTCTGGAATAGGTCTCTTCAAGTTTGGTCAAGTTTCTGGATACATGTTACTTATCGAAAATGGCTGTCCTTATTCAGAGTATTATTTGTAATATATTTTCCACTAATACATAATTTAAAACGGTACTTATGTGCATAGATATATATATATAAAAATACAAGTAGTAATGACATCAATCATTATGTCAGTTCTCTTGTTCTTATTTAAGTGTAGCATTGCTTTTTTTTAATTATATTTTTTATATAACTATCATTGAACAGCCGACCCAATTTTATGGGTTTACGACTACCAATGTTCAACTCCGTAGCCTTGTAATTTTGAACCCAATCCTGAATCCTCCTGGATCGAGCATTGGGAGAAATTTGCCTTCGTTAAGGACTTTTTGATGGAGCTAACCCGCATTTGCGTTACACGGAGAGGGAGACCACGAGAACCTCCCACGGTTAGCCTGACGACAAGGGGACTCTAACCCATGATCCGTTTATCACTGAGGAAATTTCACGTCAGCACTGTGGTTGGTGCAAGCTGGATGCGGAATTCGTATAGACTGGGATTCGAACCCGGTTCGCCTCATTGGAAGGCGAACGCTCTATCCCCTGTGCCATCGTGGCTCTGTAGCATTGCTTTGAAAAAATTGGTCTAGCATTCTCTGAATTGAGAGAATATTATGGTATTCATGTATACTCACAATACAATGACCTCATATTATAATGCCCACTTTTGTTTGAACTAAAGGTTAATATTTCGAGCTTCAACTGAATATGACTCAAGATATTGCACTTTTATAGAATCGAGACAATTAATCAAATCAATTATTTTTAAAACAGGTCACCTATTGTGGATTTCCTATGAAGATAGCCCGTTTTTGAACTCTGTGATTATTAACCACACAACCATTGATCCAAACACTCTACGTGTAGTATTTTTCTGCAAACTTGAATCCCAATATCCGAATAATGAAAAAAATATTAATTTAACATACACATTAATAAGAATTTTTTTCAATAATATAACTTTGTGTACTTTTTAACAGCTTAATTTTATGATGAGACCAAAGTACCTCCCAATGAAATTGAAAAATTTCTTATCTGGACAAAATAAACTTCAAACTCTACATCATTTTCATGCAATAGGAACAATGGGTCCATACGATTAAACAGAAAACTTTTATATTGAACAAGAATAATAAAAAAAATATTAATTGCATGCATATGTAACTAATTAATATGAACACTCTTCAAAAGTTAAAGCTTTTTGTTGAAGTTTTATGTTGCTTTGTACCTTTGTGAAATCTACTTGGAATCTTCGGACAATATAGTCAGAATACCTTTTGGTGCTCACTAATGATATTACAAACATTTTTTCGATTTCTTTCGGACAACTTTCACTCCAATACTGAGCACATTTCACCTGAAAATATTAGAAACCAAAATTGATCTTTTTAAACTTTAGAGTAATAAAATATGTTGATCAAAAGATTCAAATTTTATTAAACAAATACTCATAATCCTAAATGGTATTTTTACCTGCCCATGTTCTTCTATTCCAGTAAGCATTACGACTACAGTGACACGATGTTCCCATAACATTCTCCAAAAATCAAAAACTGTTCTATCTAATGGACCTTGCGCGCAAATAAACATTTTTCGGTTTTTGTATCCCTGATAAATAAATAATCTTAATTTAATACATTATTTCAGTAAATAGTCATGATTAAAACTTCATGTAATAACATTTAATTCACTAAAAATTAATTATTTTATAAGAAACCTTGTTAAAGCAGAATTGAATATGTACGTCAAATACAAGAATAGGATAAATAACGTTTTACTGAGACATATTTTGATGAAAATTGTTACATTATTTTAATGGATGTTAGATGTAATTTAATGGATGTTAGAATCCCATTACTCTTTTCTTTTAACATTTTTGCAATAGTAAATCAGAAGATTGTTCAAAATATCGTACATTCATCGAAACATTTGTACACAACTAGTATGACATCTTTTGGGGGAGAGAATTAAAGGCTCTGAGTAATAAATGCTGAAAATTACAAAGAGTTAGATCTGTTTAAAGATCACTAGAGAAAGATAGTTTTTATTTCATTTTACTTTATTTTATTACTAGATAAAACTAACAACATTGTACCAGTAAAATGAGGAAAATCAGCAACTTTGAGGAGTTTGCAAATAATTGCATTGAACAATCAGCAATAAAATTCTGAGAAGTTGATTGAGGCTTCTTATTTGAATTCTCACAGAATGCAATTTAGTTGAATAGTCTTTTTCAAGTATGGAATTTTACAAGAGGATTTTATAATAAAATATGCTAGAAAAAATACTCATTAAAAAAATACTGTTACGTTACTTTTAGCACTTCTTGAGGCTTAATTATGAATAAAAGCAAAACGAGAAAAATAAATTGTTAATTAATTTAATTTTGTTAATTTATTTAATGTTGAATTTTGTCTACTTGGATTTCTTTGGAGAAAATGGTATGTTTAGTCAAGCAAATTAAGGTTTAATTTCTGTTTTTTTCTTTTTTTGTAAGCATACAGGTTTGTAGATGTAAGTATTTGAAAAAACTCCCATTTGTTCACACATATATTATATGATTAAATAATTTTTAATTTCAAAGGATGACTGAAAAATACAAAATTTAAATGGGTAAAACTTGGAATAAGAATATAAATGAACTAAATAAGATTAACTCAATTATTCAATACCTAAACAATTACTAAATAAGATTAATTACTAAAATTACTTAATATGAAACTACTCACTTCTATAAAATTAGCATTTATATAATCTGAACCAGCAACTCCATCTATTAAAGGAAGTCTAACTCTTGTTTGGTCATCTAAAAAAATGAACATATTGCTATATAAAGCTTGCAAATTACAACAAAACTGTATCCAAAGCTATATACAAAGAAACCTCAGTTGAGTCAGCATTCTTGAGACTGAAAAAATTGTCCCCTAATGAGAGTTGTCCAATTATGAGATGGGTACACTAATATTGAAGGGTGTTTTTAGAATAATTGCAAAGATATATAAATAATTAAATAATCTTTAATAACTATTTACATTGATTTTTATTAAAATTAACAAAATTATAATGTTTACAGTAAAAAAATAGACAAAGAAATTTGATATACATACATTCCTTTGTACTATATTTATCTATTTGAAAAGAAAGATATGAAAGAATTTTTTTTTAAGCGGCTGCAATTTAACATATCTTCATGGTGTATTTTTAAAATCATTTAGCATTTTTACACCAATTTCATCATTTTTGGATAGCTAAAAATAAGTTTACACTCCTAATATTTCCCGCTTGATAGGAAACATAGCAATACCTCCTTGAAGGTAAAACTTCTGTAATACATAGAAATGCATTGTAAGAGGTCTGTAATGTGAGGTTTCATTGTACTTCAATTCTGCTGAATATTTAACAATATAAACACACATAATATATATTCTTGAAAAGATATTTTTATAGAAAAAAGAATTTATCCTACTACTTACAGGCTTTAATGTCAGGATATCGGTTTTTGCTCAAATTTTCAGGAGCATCTGAAGCATGAGTTGTTCTATCCTTAAAACTGTCAGGAAGAGCCTGAAAAAGAATGAAACATTAATGACCTTTGAATTGAAATTTCTCAGTGTAAATTTATGAGATCTAAGCCTTATTCAAAAGTAATTTTATTTCAAAAGAATGAGCTTCAATAAACATTTATTAAAGCTTAGTAATCAATAAAAAAAATTTGTCAATGAGAATTTAAATTCTAATATTTCTCTGCACTGACTTTAAGTGCAAAAATAATTCTTTAGAAGGTTTTAAGAAATAAAAATAAGAAATATTTCTTTGACAATTTACAACTAATTTAAATACTATGCGGTTAATAAAATTATGCGATTAAAATTTGCTTTTAAAGCCAGATCATAAGAAAGATCCTAGTCTTTTCCAAGACCATAAGACGAATAATAATTTCTAAAACTTTCATTTAATTATGACATTACTGAATAAAAAAAAACTTAATAGACCAGAGCAATAAAAGTTATAATTTCAAAATAGTACTAAACTTAGATAACCCTACAGGTAGTTGAGTAGAGCGATAAAAATAAAAAATCATTGCAAATAACTTTTGATCTAACTATCACATCTTCATGTACTAGAACTCAATTTTAATAGTTGGAGGGGGTGACTTCAAATATGTTAATTATTTAGTGAATACAATATTTTGTTACAAAATCACACACAAAATTTTTTTTCTAAACTAATATATCCTTTTCCTGCCAGGGATTTGAATTTCTGACCCTCAAAATATAGGTGGTAGTTAGAATCTGGGAAATTTGACCCCAATAGAATAGGAGAGTAGTCTAAAGTTTGGACTTCTTAATGTTAATTTTACTTTTTGTGTATTTCTCCCTATCTCAGGAATTTTTGAAGTTAAATGAAAAACTTTCCCATACAATTATAAAATTCATTTAGCCAAAGATGATGCAAAAATAACTTTTAATAATTATTTTATTCAATAATAGCAAAAAAATTGAATTTTAAGGTATACAAATTATTATATCACTTTAAAAAAAATGTAATTTTAAATACAGTGTAACGTCCCATATCCGGACGTCCCTTTTCCGGAAGGGTCGATTTCCCGGACACTTTTTAACAATCAAAATAAACAAACATTTCTTCATCTTCCCCTCTAATTTTAAAAAAAAATAAAAAAANGGTTTTTCCCCTTTTCAGCTTCTAGAGATCTATGCATTGAACCCATAAATCAACAGAAAAGAGAACAGAAGATCTACTAAGACCATGACGCTCCTCCTCTGGAATGCAGAAAATGGGAGAGGGGGAGATTTGTTTTCAAAAGAGCACAACTGAGTCCCCTCCCTCCCCATTCTTTCCTATGCAGAGATATTCTTTCCTAAAAGAGGCATTTCCTGGAACCTTTTTATTTGAGTGTTAGGGGAAGAAGAAATACTGTGAAAAAGGGTAAACACAGCAAATGTTAAAGTGGAGGGGGAATCACCTTTAGCAACACAAGAAAAAATAAAGAGAACCCAATCAGCATGCCACGCCTTTATGCTTTCTTGATAGCCAATGATGGGAGAGAAAATAAGAATTTGTCACTACCCCGCCCTCAACTTGAATGACAAGTAAGGAGGGAATGAATTTTTCTTCTCCACATACCCACCTTAATGAATGACGGGAATGTCCCCTTCTTGCTTGAATCGTTCTAGTTCAAAATGGCGGAGAGGGCAATTAATATTTTCATAACTATGAATTTTTTTCGTTTTCTATATTTATATTTAAAATAGCAATAATTATTTTTTCTAATATTTTGTTTATGATTGATTAGATATCGTTCTAATACTAAAGCATTATTGCCCGAAAAATAATGTTTATTTATTTTCTGCTTCTTAGATTCAGATCATTTTAAGCTTTGTTTACCTTGGAGGTCAATTATACGGAAAAATCAAATATACGGACTTCGGGAAGTCCCGCCGATTCCGGATATGCGACTTTCCACTGTAGCACAAAATTTGAACATAATCAGTCAAATTCTGTATTCTGACATATAAAATTACATCCTATGAAATTATGTAAAAATGTGCATATACTTTTCAATTCCAAATTTTTTTAGACTATTTAATTAAAATGATAAAAAAGAATCGAAACATTATTTTTTAAGTAATTATTTTTGGATAAATGGATTTTATAATTGTGTACAAGAAAATTTCGATTCGCTGAAAAGGTCTCGATGCGGCAAAAAATTTAGCAAATATGGAAAAAATGAAATTAATATTCTAATAATAATTGTTTAATAACATAAAATATCATCTTCACTAATTAATTAGCATATTTCAGGTCACCTCCTCAAACCATTAAAATTGAGCCTCCACAAGTTTTTTGTGCACGGAACAAGTTTTTTTGTGCACTGTACTGAAAAGGATATTGGATTGAGAATAAATAATAAAGAGTATAAAAAATGAAAGATTACACAAATCATTCATTAACATTACATATTAACCTAACTGTGAAAGTTAATTTTTTAATGCCTTTTTTATAAAAAAAAATCTACTTATAAACTTAACACCTTTTGCTAAATTAAATTTTTTTTATTAACAGTAAATAACGTATATTAAAACTGCAGTTATAATATTAGGTTAAAAGATACATAATTATCAAAATTAATAAAACATTTTTCAAATTTGATATTTACAATACATTTTTATTGAAGATTTCCTTTTATTATCAATATTATTATAAGAATGATTTTTTAAAAATCTAAAACATTTTTGCTTAAGAAAAATAACCTATTTATTTTCATATTTTTAAATATTTATATAATAAATAAAATCAGGGGAGTACCATATTTCCTGGTGTATAAGTTTATCCTGATTTTTAACTTTAAGATAGAAAATTTCTGGTATGTCAGATATATAAGTCGACTGCTGAAAAACAACTAAGTATTAAAATTTCAAAAATTAAAAAACATAAAAAAATAATTAAGTCTACAAAATGTTCTCAAGCTAAAACCATTTCACATTGTTTTCTCTGGATATGGTACAATTGCCCACAAATAAAAAATGCTGTGAGGTGATCAGTTAATCAGGAGAAAAAAAAACTTACAAAAATAGAAAATATCTAAGCTGTGCGCCAGCTATGCATAATATAGACCAACTGTGAATGCCGTTTTCAGAAAATTTATCACTGCCACTGAAAAATTTTCAATATAAAAAAAAATAACAAAATTGAAAAAACATTCCAAATTCTGATGTATTGAGATTTTAGATATACAGAGAAAGCCAAGTCAAAGGTAAAACAAGGTAAGTTAATAACTAGTTTTATATCTTCAAAAAACTGTTAATGAAAAGAAATATATGCTGGTATGGTGGCACGTATAATTATCAATATAAAGTTACATAAAAATTAAAAAACTATTAAAAAAAATCAATGATTTTCAAACAAATTTGTCAAAATTAGGTGGCGATAAAAAGGTTGAAACTAGTTACATGAGTCAATAAATTGCTTGCAGAAAGTTTGTTCCGATTCTGTGCTTGCAGAAAGTTTTTCCTTTTATTTAAGTCAGCAGTGCACTGTCATAGACGCATGGCAAAATAGGGTTCAAATGCTATTGTAAAATTTTTTAACTCCTTGCTGAAGAGCAAACGTCGATTGCAAATTTTGGTCAGGCAACATACAGCAATTGCAACCTCAGTCAGTGTATTCTCACTAAAGAGGCATACTTTATCACTTCGTTGCTTAAAGAATAGAGGTAGCTCAAAATTGGCGAACTTTAGAGGCAAATAAAAGGCTTAGAAGCATTTTTACTGATTTGTAAAATTTTTGGATTAAGTGTTGTTAGACTAGCAACACTGAGCTGAAATGGGTTAGAAAGTGTGGTATTTTGAATTCTTTGGAAGGGGATGAAGACTATTTTTTATGGAGCTTAGTATATGAGGATGAAGTAAAATCCATGGCAGAGTGGGATCCATGAGTTGACACTGCTACCGTTATTGACTCTGACACTGAGATGGTCTGGAATCTTTAAATTAGTAGTTTTACAGTTACATATTTTGAAATACTCCAGAATAAATTATTTTAACTTTTCTTATTCTTAATCTTTTTTTGAACGTAATTTAAAGCATTGTTTCTAAAAACACCTTTATATGTGAAGAAAGTATGACGAGAGAAAATTCAAAATTGTACATAACATAATAAAAACAGATTGTGAAGGAGATAAATTGATAAAGAGTTATTCATATATCATTGCTTATAACTTATCTATATTTTGCAATCAACGAATGTCAGACTTTATTACCAGTGTATAAATTAATCCCTTAATTTTTGTCAAGTTTTTTCAATTGAAAAGACAACTTATACACTGGGATATATGGTAGTTATAAATGCAATCATCTTGGAAACAAATACCCTCTAAAAGTAGTTGACAGAATTTTCAAAAAGAGCAGCTGATGTTAAAGTAAACAAAATTTTTAAAAGATCAAAAAAAGGAGATATATATGCATAACAGTCTTTAACATTAGCAGTTTGAGTAATTAGTTCCTGTAATTTATTATTAGAGACTGTTTTAAAAAGGAATTACAAGCTCACATGGATTTTTTTTTTGTGTGTAAATTATATTAAGTATTCTTTTCATTTAAATTTTATCAATGATAACATGTATTAGGCCTTTGGTTGACAAAGTAGCATTTTTTTATATTAATGTTCAAATCAAAAACATTTTTTTCCAAACATCCACAAGTGTCCAGTTTTTATTAATATTACACATTGATTAATTAATTTATAATCAGGAAATGTTCAAGCAAATGCATTTGTATGATTTTTCCTTGGAATCTAAAAAAAATATTAGATTTTAAAAGTTTTTGACATCTCCAAAATTTTACAAACTTCTCAACTTTTTCAAATAAAGCAAAGGTTTTCAATCAGGATTTTTAAAAACTTCTTTTCCCACTTGTATTATAATATTTAATATTAATATATAAAATACACATTATTAAAAAGTGAGATTTGGATATTAATGAATTAAAATACAGTTAATGAATTTTCCTTTCTTTTTGGTTGTCTCCCCGTAAGTTCAAATTAGAATAGGGCATATAATAGCACATTTATATACGTAATCTGAAAGTATAATAGCATATTTATATGAATAAAAGTTACAATGAAATAATGTGTCATAAGAATTTTGAACTTTAAGCACATAGGCCTTATAAATTAATTTTACTTATTAACTCATCAGTAATAAACTTATTTATTTATTATAGGAATCACAAGCAAAAAGTACACATTGAATATACCTCAAATTCAGTTTGAAAAAGCAAATCACTATCCATATGTCTTTCAACAAATGCAGCAGGAAGTTCTTCACTAGAGATAGGACCAAGTCTAGGCACTTTAGACAAATTTCCTGCTAAATTAAAATAAATCTGTGTCAGAAAAATAAATTACAACAATTATTAAAGTAGACGAATAGAATAAAATATCTTTATTACATTAAAAACTGTAAGAAATATTTCAAATGACGACTAAGTTGTTTAACCAAACTATGACAAATAATATTTAACAATCAAGTTCTATTTATATATATATAAAAAAAAATTTAAAAAAATGCGTAATTAGTACAACAGAGTTCAAATGTAATGAGAATTCTCTGAAAGAGGAAAAAAGTTTACCATCTAATAAAGAGAACCAAAAATATGCACTTCTTGAGAACACAGAAATTTAAGGAGTAATTAAATTTACTGTTAAGTGTTTAAAATTAAAAAGTTACTTAAACTTATTGTGAGCAAAACATTTAAAAAACAAACAAAAGAGATAATTCAACACATATAATAATATGTTGTAATATGTTAACTTCAAATATCTAATTTTCTTTGTAAATATTCAGATTTAAAAACATCATTATTAGGAAGCTTTATGTACAAAACAAAAAAAAACCTCTCTGCTAAAAAAAAATCTTAACAAGCGAAGTCAAAGATGAAATCTTAAAATAGCAGTACATTAAGTAATTGTATAATTTTTCAAACAAAAATAATAGTAAAAAAAAAAAAAAAAACTTTCATGACATAGTACATTACTTTACAGAAAAAGTAAATTACAGGATGCTTAAAATTAAACTAATAGTTTTTCAAAATTATATATATATATAAAAAAAAAAAAAAAAAAATTAAAAAAACAGGATTGAAAAAAAAAAGCATTGGGGCAATTTTACATGAAAGGACCTAAATTATTTTTCAAAGTGTTCCTACTTTCAGTTAAAAATTTTTTTGAAGAGCAGTGTATTGCAGTGAATAGACTTATAAATAAATAAAAAGATGAAAATCAAACTAAGATAACATTTTTGAAGTGTCCACCATCAGCCACAATCACATATTATAATTGGAGAAATGAATTTTTATGCATAGAAACACAACAAGAATATTGATAGATGGGTCTCCCTATAGTGCCATTTGTTGAAATTTTTTTAAATTTAAACTAGGAACTTGTACGAAATATATTGTGGCCCAATTCAGTCATGAAAAGTACTGAAAAGTAAAATGAAATCTAATTTTGATTTGTTGAATTAAATATAACCATTACAGCTTCATTGAATTTCCATTTTTTAATTTCACACATTTTGTAGTCATATAATGCATAACTATAATCCTCAGATTAACTGGATGTAAAATTTAAAGGCACAGGAACTGAATGCTAGGGATAAAATGAAAGTTTAAAAAAAAAAAAATTACATAATCAATTTAAATAAATGGTGCTTGAAACTCTGCCTGATGCATAAAGGAAAAGACCAAGGAAACAAAAAGAAGAAAGGTTTATAAGATACCTCATGGTTGTAGAACCAATGCTTATCTTAAGAAGATAAATACCTTAAGCAAAACTGCTGAATTGAAAAATTAAATTACCTTTACTTCCAGGTAAATGGCCATTTCTATGAATAGTTCTAAGTATCAAAGCAGTAAGACCCAGACGCTCCCCATTTTCTAAATACCTTGGCCCATGTTTATTCCTGCAATAATAATTATTTCTATCATGTATTTAGTTAAGACATAATATTTTAGTCAGCTAAACAAATACAGCAAACAATGTAAGTAAAATATTGTTTTATAAGTTTTATTTACAGATTTTCTGAAGTAAATATTGAAAATATGTCTTTTGATTAAAAAAAATATATCTCATTTACTTAGGAAATTTTGGTATAGCTATGCAAAGGTATTCAATATAGCTATTTGGTAGCCTATGAAATTTGAAAAATATGATGAAGGAAAATTACGAGATTATATATACACAGATAATTTCAATGCACAAATTAACAGTTATTTTAAAAAATTATATCTTAACTTATATTAGATCAGTTATCTAATTCATACAGGAAAGGGAGGCAGCAAATTATATGATTTTCATTAACTTATGACATGGCATGTTTCCAAAAATGTGCATAGAACAAGGAAGATTTCTGTTGTAAATTCTGTTCTGTCATATTTGATATTCTGTTGTATTGTCTGATGTACTGTTGTATTTTAATAAATTAAATAAGTTTAGCAAGGAATAAAGAGGCAAACATCTTAAAGTAAATTGTTGTAAAAATTTAAAAAATGTAAACAAAGTTCAGCACTATAATAGATAGAAGGTTGAATAATTCAACACAATGCTTAACTACTAATATAATCAATAATATGACAATTTTAACAGTATGACAGGATTGCTAGGTCAAAGGGCTTTAACTGACTTAGAATTTCTGAAGTTAAAGGGCGCCCTTGTACTTGTAGTTTTTCCTGCAGAAAAACAATATAATCCCTCGTTGCTAAATTAAATAGTTGAGTTCTGAGTAATTATATTTCTATAGAACACTTTCTAAAACGATTACAAAATTTTGATGCACATGTGAAAATAACACAAAAGGTTCTTGTAGAACATAATGATAAAATATTTAGTCATTTTTTTTGGCGGAAATAAAATTTAAACAGGTCAAATGGTATTTATTCTTAAAAGTTATATTCTCATGAATCAAACATAACTATTTATAAACACATTCAGAGGTGATCATCACTAGATGATACTGAAGTTTCCATATTGTTGACATAGGTTAAAATTTTTTTTAATGGCTGAGAGATTTTGTCACCTTTCCAACATTGATATCAAAACTTTAAATTATTAACTGAAAACTTAGACTAGCTTACAAAAAACATAATATAAGAAATAGTATGTAGAAACCGCCAAAAGCAAGATTAAAAATATTCAATTTACAGAAATGTTAACAATGAATTGCTTTTCATAAATATAATTAAATCAGCTTTAATAACTTGAAAATGAATAAAAAATATAAACAAGACTAGGAAAAAAACTATGTTAAGTATGTTTTTCATATAAACAAGTCATGTTTCAAAAGCATGCCAAAATGTTATAGGAGAGAGACAAAATAATGTGATCAGTGCCAATCAGTACAGTATTTCTTTTTCTGAATAGAATATTTTATGCGTTAAAAACTTAACATGAGTTAAAAGATCATACTCAAAACTTTAAAAAAAAAGTTATATACTTGAAAACATTCAAAAGTTGTACTAACTATAGTTAGAATAAGAAATTAAAATCTTGAGTCTATTCTTTCAAATACAGCAATTCTAAAAATGTTGATGCTAGAAGCATATTTTAAAATTAATATGTATACTGTGCAAATGCAGTTTGCAAATAATAAAGAAACCTTGGTAACTAAGTGATGAATTTTAAAAATTAATATTTATAGAATCATTGTCATTAGAAAAAGACCCTAGTTTTAAAAATCGTAGCTGATTACTGCAGTTGATGCAAGTTTGGTATGGATACAGATAATATTGTTTGAGAATTTTGAACATAATCTTACACAAGAAATAGTTATGACATATATTTCCTAGGGCCCTTGTATTGTATTAGGACAAGATACTGTTCCTTAAAATTACCCAAAGGGATAAAAGAAAATATTTTTAGTGCATAGAAATAGCTTTTTTTCCAAAAAAAAAAGAACATTTTTATGAATTGGGTATTTTTCAAGTGATTTGCTATGCTAACATTTAACTTTGTTGTTAATGTAATTCTATTTGACAAATTCGTTTGTTAAAACTTACCCTTCCACCACAACTTATAATTAAAAAAAAACATTTTAACTTACCTAATTAGAAAAAGGGCCAGACCGAAAGCTATAAAAACCAATATGATACCACAAATTACTCCAAGTATGACGAGTATGGGACTTTCTGTAGAGGTGGGGGTTGGAGGAGAACCTACAGAGACAGTGCAGACTGCGTGCATAAATAAAACCCTATGTTTTAAATATATACCTCTCCATTTCATGATACATAAATAATAAAACAATAAATTACAGATTTCAAAAGAGAAGAATGACAGCAAGTTAAAAGTCATACAGCAAATTTATAAATTACCATTTATCTAGTCAATAGTCTAAATTTTAATTCAACTAGTTTAACAATAGGTATTGTTTATGAGATGAAGAAATTGTATTAATATCCTTAAGATCTTAGCTAACTAGTTTCCTAATAATCCTAAAGTGGGGTAGGCAAGGTTTTGAACAAAATGGAAAAAATCCATGGTTCTTACTATAACTAATATTTGGTAAAAATTTTATTTAAGAAATACCAGATATCTATAAAATACATTTAATGAAAGATAATTTAATTAGAAATATTTGGAGTTGTAGAGTACATACAGTAAAAAAAAAAGGTTAATATTATAATACTAAATATTGCAGTGTAGTTTTATATTAACAATGCTAAATAGTTAAGAAAATTTCAAAAAGGTAACCGGTATGAAATTTACGATTTAGTTTTTAATACATATATAATTATATATATAATTATATATATATATATATACATAAACAAATCACCCTAAATGAC